CGTCATAAGGGGGCACACCACCGACACCGAGGACGGCATCGTCATTGCAAAATGTAGGGACTATAGAGTGCGCGTGTGTTCTACGTCAATGGCTTATACTTTTTCTTCTGTTTATTCGTGTTTGTATGATGGTTTTGATCATCACTTAACCATACCATTGATTGTATTCATAATTTCATATCATAACTGACACCAACTCTATCCCACATTACCAAACTCTGTAACCTGTTTAAATTGGATGAGATATACGACTAAGGAAACTCAAGAGTAACTACTGTTTTTTTTTTTTTTACGTGTCTAAATAAAATACATGGATTCATATGAGGTACAATTACGCTAAAACGCTACTTTTGGCAGTATTTATATATGCGTTTGGTTCATTTGCACATCCATCCATTCACAATTTTTCACTAAATTGATCAGAGCTGCACATTTTTCCACGGGCTGACAATTATTTCCGAACGAGAAGTAAATCTCGGAGGATGTTATGTGCAAGGGGAGGCCCACAGTATTTTCAGCATCCGAGCCGAAAGCACAAGCAGGAAAATTGTACATGGTCACCACCTGCCGAACTAATTACACCTTTCATATTGTCCGCAATGCTCAATCTACTGATTCACTATCATCATCTAATTCATCTGGTACGTGCAACTTCTCGATGGCAGCCTGTCAAAAGATAGTAACATTTAGGGAAGATAAGTCTCGCATACTGAAACAAAATCATAGTAATGCTATGTTTGGTAACCAAATAAGCTAGCTTATAAACTTCGTTTGTTTAAATAAGTTTCGTTTGATAGGACGAGTTTTTTTTTTTTTAAAGCTCGAGCTTATCTCTTAAGCTTATTTGGGTAGTTTTTCAAATAAGCTCGTTGAAATTTTTTATTTATCAGCTAATTTTACCAAACACTTTTATTATATAAGTTAATTTTTCAACTATAAGTTATAAGCTATAAGCTTGAAAATTACTTATAAGCTGTAAGCTAGCTCATCAGCTAGTTTTACCAAACATAACCATAAGCTTCTTGTATTTAAATAAGTTTCGTTTGGTAGGACGACCTTTTTTAAAAAGCTCGAGCTTATCTCATAAGTTTGGGTAGTTTTTGTTGAAATTTTTATTTCAACTGGCTTATCAGCTAATTTTACCACACTTTTATCATATAAGTTAGCTTTTCAGCTATAAGCTCGAAAATCACTTATAAGATATAAGCTAACTTATCAGCTAGTTTTACCAAACATAACCTAAGAATGTTACAGAACCAAGCATTAAAAGTATCATGATCACAAAGAATAATAGATGTCCTAAAAACAAGATTAAATTGATTACTACCTTGATAGCAGCAACATCAGTTGCCGAAGGTTTCAAATCCAATGCTATTCCAAAATGAAGCATGGCTTTATCATACATATTCCTCCGCTTGTAAATGCTGCCCATTAATGCGTAAACACTGCTCTCACACGGTGCATACTCTTTGAGCTCCTCAAGAACAGTTAAAGCCCAATCAAGATTATCCATGCTCACAAGGATGTTCGCTTTTTGATACAGAGGAAGTGGGTTCTTCTTATCAGCCAAAACAGCTCTTTCCATCATCTCGAGTGCTTCATTATTTCTCTGTCGATAATTTTACAATACAGTCTCGTTAGAATGAACTCGAATATATTTTTCCAGGTCAGAATTTTTTTCTTAATATGCGACTAAAAAAATCCGACCTTCAGCGCATGTAAAGCAGTCCCAAGATACGACATTATAACAGATGAAAATGGGTTAATTTGGAAAGCCATTCGGAAATGGTGCTCAGAGAACTCATACTTCTCTTGTCTGAGATATATCATTCCAAGTCCATACCAGGCGTTATAGTGCCTCGAGTCTATACGAAGGGCATTCTGGTAGCTCTTAACACCATTTTCAAAATCCTCCAAGGCCACATATCTGTGAATAAAACAATATAGAAATTCTGGATTCGAAAAAGTTGGTAAATATGTTGCATCTACAAAAGAGGAAGACAAATTGTGAGTCGTACTCATGACCACACAAGGTGTGGGCATATGCAAATCTTGAATTTAATTGCACAGATCTCTGGAAAGTTTTAAGAGCGGTTTCATGATCTTTCTGTAAGCTATAGCAGTTCCCCATAGCACACCTGTCACATGACATCGAAAATAAGTAAGCAAATAATGTTTAACGATATAATTTATCAGCGCCCAACAGAAGGCTCACTAACAAAGTTGGGGAGGGTTAATTGATTAATGACCACACACCATGTCCATGAGAATAGAGAAGCAGAACAAAGCAAGCAGAGACATCAAGCAAACTAACAAAGTACATGCCTATGTGTATGTTAAAAGTTATGTTTGTCACACGTTAATTAGTTACTGGGCTGTTATTCTATATAAGTGAGGGTTGGGCACCCTCTCCCTTTGAGCCAGCTTTTGGGGATGAGTTCTACCCATACCCATTTATCGGTATATAATAATATAAAGGCTTAATTGTAGAAAAACCATGACATTTTCGTAATTTGTAGATTAAATCAAACATTTTAAAGTTGGCATATTAACATCCAAATTATTAATCTGTTTTATTGTAATTTCAGACACCAGGCTTAAATCGGGACAAATTTAGCTGACATTGACGTGCACGTGGATTTTCATCATAAAAATTAATTGCAAAACAAATCACCACCTTTTTGAAATGGTGCAGATTTAACTAAACAATTTTTTAAGTCTGAACATAAATACAGGAAATTTTTATTGTAAAATTCGATACATCAAGCCTAATCCAAGCTAATAGCTTAGGTGAACTCAACATTTTTGGCCAAGCATCCCACAAAAACTAAAATATGATGCAAAACACACAAAAAAGAACGTCGACTTTCAAGATGTTTCGACATACTAGATTTAAAATCTTGATGATCTAGGTGTTTTTTAAATTTGAAGTTTCCTCATACTGCATCTTCTCACTTCTCATAAAATTGTTTGTATCAACTATTTTTTCTTTTAAACCCATGACTCTATTTAAGGGCCCATGAGGAACAGAGGTTTCGATAACCTGAAAATCTTATGCGGTTGATCGATTGTTAGAGTTTGGTGATCTCGAAGGACTTGGGAGTCATCGGGAATAAGAAGATCCAAGGGTTGTCAGTTGTGAGAATGAAAATGTCTTCATAATTTGTTTGCAGGTGGATTTTATCCTTTGATGGTCGGATCAAAAAACTTATTGTGTTTTGTTTAATGATTGAATTGAAAATTGTTGCCTTCTTATTTCCTGTATACAATCTATATGTATTTGACATTTATTTGGAAAAAGTAAGCTAAATTACCCAGCATTTAGGCTTGATGTGTTGAATTGCAAAAAATTATAAATCTCATGTATTAAAATCAGCAACTTTCGAAATGTTCAAGCTTTTCCTGCACTTCAGACTAATATAAATAATATTAAGTGAAGCCACAAATTTGATATCAATGATCTAAACAATGCAATTGGAAACAAAGAGGGTTTGAAAGTACCATGATTGAGGAGCTAAACGGTCTGTGGATATCAGCTCCTGAGCAAGGTAACTCAACTTCATATCTTCCTTCAAATGCTATAAATGGAAGTAAAAACTGTAGTCAATAAAATATGAACGGCATGGATCACAGAGAGAAAGGTAACTGAGTAAGAACTGCAATCTAACATCTGAAAGAATCAGAAGACTTGAACATATTAGCCAGGAGAAACCACTACAGTCAGCTATCTAAAACTTTTCAAATTAGAACTAAACTCCTGTAGAGACAAGTCAGTATCATTCGAATGAACAATAAATTACTTTTGTAAAAAGCTAAACAAATAAATGTGGATGCTTGAACCTTCACATTTCAGTTGGAGCATAGCAATCTAAGATATCATGATTCATACTTATCCGGCAGAAAATGACATTTAAGACCTTTAAAAAAATAGGAGGTATGGCATCACCTCTACGTCGGAGCAAGTTAGGCAGCTAATATCTATCATCATCATCACCAAATTATATATTTATAGCAACAACGAAATATGAAGATGATGTGAACACATGCACACAAGTTTATGACAAACATTCTGTTACTAGAAAGGACAAGATCACGAATTTATCCATGCAGTTTCCTTTAGATTTTACAGGAAAAGAGTGGCATTACATCGAAACTAATGAAAGAGTGTTACACTAAAGAACAGAAAACTTACATATAAAACTGTAGAGTATATGTCCATCCCCTCCAAACTGTGCGGGGAGGCAATACGTGCAAGACTGAAGGCACGATCAGCTTCAAGATAATCAACCATTTCAAAATATGCTTTTCCTACCTGTCTTCCAATGAATTCATAAGATGACACATGGTCAGGCAGAGTAAGGGCCCCAAGTTAGACATTTATTCACGCAAGCAAGGGATTTACCACCAGATGTTAAATGTTTTAAGTAGAATATATTACATCAGAACTGATTTAACTACTATTAAAAAACTCGCAATTGCAGATTGGTGCTTCACCATTTTGAGAGTCAAATCCATGTCGGAAGAGGACCGAGCAGTTTGGTTTAATTATTGTCACTAAAGTACAGAGGAAACTATGTTTCAAAGAATTTCGAGTTCAGGTTGTGGACATCAGGTGGCATATGAGTCACCAAAAAGGAGAAAGCAAAATACTTTGAATTCACAGTTCATCAACCAGACTCCCATTAACAAGTATTACTCTCATTCTTAGCAAAGCCCCAGTCTCTTCCAGAAATTCAGGACAAAAATTTAATTTAACCATATGTTACATGACAATGAAATCGAGATTAAATCAATATCTCGAAAGATAGAAAGGCATAGAAAGATAGAGTTAAGGTAACATAATAAAACATACATTGCTAAGTGCATTTGCTATTGGATTATATATGTGAAGGTTGCTTTAAAATATCATAGGATGCAATAAATATATGGTGGTGGATAAACTGAGTCTGCTAACCAGTACTACATGGGTATAATAGTCTGGCAGGTTAGAGAAGTTAAGCCAATTAGAACAATATGCTATCTCCCAAATAGTAAGAGGAAGTGAAAACTGAACAGCTTACCTGCGAAAGCACCCATCCGGTATTATAATGTTTTTGGGGAAGTTTCATGTAGACATTCAATGCATCCTGTTCAACACAAGCAACAAAATCATTTACATGGTGACAAAATTAATGCGAGGCTGTATTTCTTCAAGATGTGAACTACCTGGCATCTGCACAGACTGGAAAGTCTTAGGCCCTCCCCTAGAAGCCTAAAAAGACCCAATATATCAGAAGCACCATCTATGATTCTTGAGCTGCTCAAAACAGCAGCACATGAAGAAGGCCTATTTTCTCCTTCTGGCTCAAGAGACCTATTATCTCTAGTGGGAGATGAGCTTGAAGTAGTGATATGCAATCTAGAATCATCATACACGTCATGACGAGTCCCTAGAAGAGACAAGGAATTTTTTGGTTACCCAGATATGAATAAAGCACCAACAAATTAGCTGCACCAGAGTTCAACAAATACTCCATATGGAAGTCAGAGAGTAAAATGATAACAAAATGGAAAATATTATGCAAGATTAATTACCATCATCAGCATTCTCACTTGCCCAGGATTGACCCTTTCGAATTGTTAAAGACCGTGAAACCATGGAGCTTGATTTCAAACCTCCAAGAAACTTAGTAGAATGTCTAACTCCATTTCCAGAAGCTACAGATGTACTTGAGTTGGTACTGACCGATTCGGCAGCGAGTCTCATGCTTCTTCGCTGACTGGAATCAGAAAAGAGCCTCTCCGATACCTAAATGCTTAAGGAATTAAGGATTAACAATTCTCAGTAAAGAAAAGAAAAAGGAATATTGAAAAGGGAGGTAAGAAGCGTGACTAAGTTGATATGGGTTTTAAATGCACAAATGTAAAGCAGAAGAATAGGTGAAAATAACAGTTGCCAATACTAAATCTGAATACTATCTCCAGTATGCAGAATCCGAGGGAAGGAAAGAGTCATAGCCTCAAGATTCTCTTTTAAAAATTCAAAAGGCGAGATGCAAGTCTGGCCAACATGGATTTAATAATTTATAAAATGATAACAAGCTGATAAGCCAGTGTATAATCTTTCCCAGAAGTATAAGCACTCCATATCATAGAAAGTTATAAACTAACACAAACTATTTTTGACTTTAAGAAATTACACAGTACGTGTTCCAATTCTAAAATTACTACAGGGAACATAAGACCTTAAGTTTGAGAAAGAAACTATAGGACACGTGTCATGTATGGGCAGTCGGGAAAATTAATACGATGTAATGACATAATGCAAAACCGAAGGAGGAAAAGCAACTGCAGGAAGACAGAAAAATAAAGTACAAATACGATACAAAACCACGCAGTTATAAGAAAAACACAAGTGATAATTGGGGCAGACATACACAAGGAAGCAATAAATTGTTTTAACCTTTCTTAATTTTCCCTCATCAACAAATTTCCTTCTAGGACCTGCAACAGAGTTGACTGTTACTTGTGGAGAGTTATCAGAACCATGTATTTTTTTCGCTATTGGACCGTTTGGTTGTACATTTCTACATATAGGTGGTGGAGCTACACCTGACAACTGTAAACATGCAATAGTTAGAAAAAAAGAAGACCAGAAAAAAAAAATATTAGAAAATGAATACACGCACACACGTGTTGTACATGATTATACCTGTGAATGTGCAGCCATAGGAGAAGGTGTATTATAATATGGGAAACTTGCAAGAACACCATTTAGAGGCTGATTAGTAGTTGTTCCCTGATTGTTCCCAGATATATCGCGTAGCTTATTGTTATGAAGGTGCTTTAACTTTCTCGAACTAATATCTTCTGAGCTTGAGATTCTGTTTGAAGCAATGTGCTCCTCATTTGGTGCCTGCGAACTCGGGGAAGCTGATCCACTATTTAGATATTGTTTCTGTATGCATAGAGAAGCTCCTTCATCAAATACCGAAGTTGCTTCATCAGCCACACCTGAAACAATGCCAATTATATGGTTAATACTATAAATAATACAAAGGCGGATGCCAGCAGTGTAATTAAATTGAAGCTACAGTGATCAAATTAAAATTTCAGAGCAAAATTGTCAGATTTAAGCAATTGATGCAGTTACGGCATGAGTACTCATAGCATGCAACTCTTTGGTTTCACTTAAGGAATCCAGCTAAAACAAGAGGGAAGCTCATACAGTCATATGATCATAAATATGCACCTGACACTGAGTAGTTAAGTTAAGACAGGACTATAGAACAATTGCAAACATCTTCAGCCAAATAATTAGAGGTCAAATTGATTTTCTTCATTCATACCTAATATACAAAGTTCTTCATAAGCAACCCATAATAATGGGTCCAATGATAATGCCTGATTGAAGTGATTGATAGCGCTCTGCCTTCTATCTGTATACCTGAAACAATAAGTTAACATCACGCTAAACCATTGAATTCAGAATATGAAAAAGTAGCTCCGGGTTTTATGGGTGTCGCAATGGCTCTAGCTGAAAACAATAGTGCTCATTACATCCTGCCCGCCACTACTCCCATCACACAATTTGTGCATTCTCCAACACAAACTATCATTGATTTCCATGAGACTGGAAACCAGAATATCTTTAATGGACCAATCAACAACAATGAAAACATTACTTCCTGCCACTACTCTCATCACACAATTTGTGCATTCTCCTACACAAACTATCATTGATTCCCACTAGATTGAAATCTGCAATGGACTAATATGTTGACAATTTTCTGCCATGATGAATCTAAGATATATGCCCACATTTTTATTTTTTTCATGTTTACTAACATTTATCATTGTTTCCACTTTGAGATGCCATTACACCAGAAATTTAACGAAGAAGTCCTCCTTTCTCCTGCTTGAGTGGAGGTCAGATAGGATTGCCAAATTGACGAATTAGAAAAGTTTTGCGGTCTATGTATGCGGGCGGACCTTATCTCTGGGCAACATATTGCTATAGGGTTGATGCGATGAGAGGGAAGTTTTTTAAGTCGAAACTTAAGATGCTAACCTCATGGTAAAAGGAAGAATAGGGTAATTATCGATCTCATGTGCAATCAAGTGGGGCAGTAGGCATGCATCAAGTTATCCAGTCCTCAAAAAGAGAAGTATCTTAAATGTACCAACCTCATTCTCGGAAAATAAGATAGATGCAGTCGGTAAATTCCCAAACATATGACGCACAGTTGTCAGATCTACTAAAACTGGATCAACGAGGTCTCAAAGTTTGACAATAAAGTATAAACTTGGATAATTCCAAGATTCTTGAACCAAATGTTTAAGAGAATATCATTTCTGATCATTTAAAAGCAACCACACACGATTGCGCCAAAAAAATTGGGTCACAAATCAATGTTTCTTATATTCACATGCTATAGAGAAAATATACAAAATGTTCATTACAGTTACAACAGGTAAGTGCTAGAGCAAAGTCATCAACTTACTCATATAATAATATTTAGAAGTACATATTGTGTTACTCCAAGCACACCCATGAAAGGAGGGCCTGATTAATGTAATTGATATTTGTTGGACTAGAGCCCCCACTAAAGTGTGATGAAGAAGAGAACATTTTAGAACCTGTATACAAGTCCAAGAAGGTAATGCCCAGCAGCTCCATTTGGAACCTGCAACAGTGAACGAATATCTGGTCACTCCACCTCTATGAATAATCATTTTACTAAGAATATCTATACGCAATAGAATGCTATAAGCTTCATAACAGCAAGTTCCAAACCAAAATCTAAGTAGTAGAGAGCTACAGGAGCTATTAATCTGTACAATTATCAAAGACATTCGTCTTAGTACTTTTTTCAGGAAAATACCTCTGCAGAAGACTCATTAGGGGACAATGCAGCTTCTGCTTCACTCATTAGATCCATCTGAAAGCACGACAGTGCAAACATGTAGCGGCATTGTGCCATTTCTTTTCCTTCAAAGCAAAGACAGCACAAAAGATAAAGCTTATTCCAGGAAAAGCAATAGTTAAGAATGGAACCCCACAAAATATGATAATTGGCCAAATGTGCTTCATTCAATAAGTACCATACCCTTTAATATGTGGTAAGCACAATGTGCCTGATTGTTTTGTAGGTAACAGCTAGCAAGCAGATGCAAATTTTTCTGCATCCAACATAATCAAAGTCAAAGGAAATAAAGCCGCTGAAACCAAATTTAGTCCAATGCTAAAACTAAAATGTACCATTTTCTGATTCATGAAAAAGGCATAAGCCTAAAAGCATAAAAAGAACGGTCATATATAGAAATTTCAAGGGTAACTGCTAACATGCATCAACACTTTACTCAATGCAGCAAACATCATCTCAAAAGAACCAGGGCATCTTTCTCATTCAAACAAAGAGTGAGAGAGCAACTGCCTCCACGTCCATGCTGCCAAGAGTTCCACATTTAACATCCATCTCAACCAAGTCAGACCCCGAGCTCTAGTGTCCTTCTTTTTATTGTAAAGATAACTTGAATTAACAAGCATCAGAGCCTATAATCCAAATCCACATGTTTCCCCCACACAACCAAGTTACAGTAAATGTACAAATTGTACAAGAATACAACTTGAGAACGAATTTGTCCTCAGCCTCTCCTATCAATAACAGAATTCAGGCTTCAGAAACAAACATCCTATATCATAGCCACAACAAATATAAAGTAACATTTGAATAGTATGCGCATTTTTCAGGTACTCAGCTGAAATCTGAACTGATGGTAACAAAAACAGAGAAGCATAATGCACCAACGACAAGATAGATGATGTTTCAGCAGAAACGGGCTTGAATTTAAAATTCTTCCATTTTACAACTGCAATTTGCTCGATTGGTGAACTCTTATCCGAAAAAATAATACTGCTAACCTCAGAAGGAAACTCAGCACAGAGGCGCTCGCACATGAAAATAGCATTTCGATACATCAAGTGCTGTAAGCTGTTCCGTACAGAATCGACAAGAATAGCTTCCATGCCAACCGCGCATAAAGATATTTGCTTCAATCAATCGACGGGAAAATTGTAAGATCTTGTGATGGGGAAGACGTTTGAGAAGAAATTCACTCCAAAATCTGATATGTTATTGAGAGCCCAAAAGAATACAAACTACAAATTCCGCATTGGATTCAGGGAATTAAGCATGAACAACAAACAATCCTTGTCTGAATCATTATCAAAATCTATGCAAAACCCCCAATTGCACCAAAACCCTAACTTTAGAAATTTTAATATTTTCAAATACCTATTAATCCCACCGTTGGATTGGGACACTGCATTCTGACCCCCTAATTTATTGAATTTCGTTTTTTCTCCCTCTTGAGCATTTTTTTTCCCCTTTTCTCCTCTAATCTTTTTTTCTATTCTCCACATTAATCTTCCTTATATATAATTCTCGAATGCGGTGAACATAAATAACAGTCTCATACATCTTGAAATCCTACTTGACAAAAAATCATGCTTTGTAATTTATTTGAATAAAAATAATGTTATTCTAAGTCAATAATCATAAGTTTAGACATTCTATAAATATTGAAAAGTTAATTGAATAATTCCATAATAATTTAATTAATATAACCCTAATATTGTTTTGTAAGATTATTTAGAATTGTTTATATGACTAATATAACCCTAGAATTTGTTTTAGAATCTCTCAATTGTGAATGTTACGATCAAACGGAAAGCACCACCCTCCGTGGCTCCGTCGGTGGTCCCGGAGAAACCATGGCCTCTCCCCTTCATCACTCTATGCCATAACTCTTCTCTAGCCGCCATGTCTCGTCCTTGAAGGAAACCTCTTCACGTTACCTCCACCGGCGTTTCCTCTTCCGAAGCCTTCGTTGCACCGCCGGAAAAGCCCCAAGTATAGATGCAATTCATTGGGTACTACAGCCTATTGAGAAAATTATACAATTATTGGATTAAAAAATGTTGTATCAAGTCGTGTTTTCATTGGTTTTGTTGATTTTGTGAATTGACCTAATTAATTCTTAAGTTTGGTATCAGATTTGACATTTTTTCATGGGTTTTGTTGATTTTGTGAATTAACCTAATTAATTCTTAATTTTGCTATAATTTATAAGGCACTATTAGTTTAAAACTCCAGCGATAATTACTTGTTGCTTCCCCACCACAGTCGCTGCCTCTCGCTTCTAGTGGATCTGCGGCCACGACTTCTCAAGTTGAGGTTGTTGTTGAAAGACTCACATGTAAGATGTAACTAATCAAATTGCCCGTTGTTCGATTATGGTATGATTTGATATTGACTTATATGTGCTATGGATTTTGTTGGATTTTAGACGTACGAATCAATCGCACGCGTAGCGAAATTTTAAAATTTTTCTTACCAACAACGAAGATCCGGTTATAGCTATTCGATATGATCCTAGATCACGTGAATGATACACGAAAAACTTACAGTTTAAGCTTTGTCTTCAACTATGGTATCCACGCAATCCAGATACCGGTGCACAATCCAACGCAATGAATCCTTTCTGGTGAAGACGCTAAGAATCCTCAATCAGAAAGCCAGAGAGTGTTTTATGTTTTACGGCGTATCTCATTTTCTCATCTAATGATCGTTTTAGACTATCATGAGATAATGACCTATTTATAATTAGGTGAAACCTAATTATTTGGGCCGTAGGAGATTCTATAGCCCAATAGGTAATTGAACATTAATCCAATAACAATTTAATTAAGTATAAATCTAATTTAACTTAATTAAATATTTTCTATCAAATAGAAAATAATCTCATTACTCATAAATAAATATTCCAATCTAATTGAATATTTAACACTCTCGATTCACTCTTAGCCGGAAACTAGATTGCATATTGTGTGACCCTATAGGCCTTCATATATTGACATAAATCTAATTTATGATCCTTACGAAACTCCTAGACTGCGTCGAAGGACGAACTCAAAATATGAAGTACGTTTACATAGACAAAGCAAACAAACCTTTGGTGTAGAATTCAATAGTGATACGGTCCCTTCATTCGCGAACCACTCGATTAAGCTTAGAATTTGAACGTGTGTCTATCCAAATAGCTTTATCATTTTATCTCATCTCACTGGTTGATTTTATCAATTATATTTGAACACCATTTCAAATATAATCACATGCATTGGCCAATGACTTTATCAACCCAATAGAGAGAAAACGAGTGTTCTCTCGAAACTATATCCGAGGAATGAATCCTATCTTGACTCAACTACCAATTCCATGTATATCGTGATCAACCCAACACAAGCTCGTATCTACCCATAAGGGCGTAAGCATTGGACTAGGTCTAAGTAAATCACTCTATACATGAATTGCGTATTGACCTCAAGTCAAAGGACTATTACACCATTCCACACACCGATACTCCCATAGACACATAAACAAATGGGTTATCGGTAGGGTATACCAATACTCTCCAAAGTATCCATGTGTCCATCACGAATAACAATTATTCATAGCAGTGAGACATACTATATTCTCCAAGAATGTGATGCAGACCACATGTCAATCTATCGCGTATCATTAATATCCCTTTCTTAATGATCATCGATTGAGGCAATTTGAGAGTTATACTTTATCAATTAATATCTCACTCTGTTAATGACAGTATTAACTCAAGGGAACAATTAATTAATAAATTGCAAACAATCAAACAATTATTTAATTAAATGCAATACCATAATTATAATCCAATATAATTATTAATGTGATCATGTATATATGTCCTCAAAAAGATTGTCTCTAGGACACATATACCAACAGATTTAGCCGTAATTTAAGATTTTAGCATGGTGTATTTTGTTTTCTAGATATGAAACTTGCATATTTCACAAACACTTATCAATCGAAATTAAATTGATGTTCTGAAACCTAAAAATATGTTTATTATTCAGTCGCGAACTACTTTGAGAAGCTTGTCGAGTCCTGATGGGAATCAATTTCATTATTAGTATGGTGTTTGTTGTCTTCTAAAGATGCCATACACAAACACTTACCTACCTTGACAATAAAGTCAGCCTTAAGTTGACTAAACTGAATAATAATTTATCTATTTTTTATCCTCACTGATTGTTGACATAGGTCAATCATTTAATGAAAAAGTTTTTGTATCTCTTTTGGTAAATACGCCAAATGAATCACGATGAATCGTCTGTATCTCTATATTTTTTTAATATTTGAAATTATTGAGTCAGTATTGAAGGTATGTAATATTTCTCAATAAGCGTCATGCTTAAACAATTACCAAGCTATTGAATATTTTTATATAAAACATGTTATCTTGAAATATTGTCTATTTATATTATAAATTTCCATAAATTATTTTTGGAATTTTTTCATATTCCATTGCCTTTTTTTTTTTATTTTNCAGAAAAGGAAACATGGAAAATACGTGTTAGGCGTGAGCGAGTTAGGATAATTTCATAATACTTTGACTAATCAATAATTTTAAGGTTTGGTTATTCCATAAATATTGAAAAGCTAATTTGGGTAATTCTATAATATTTTGACTAATATAACCCTTAAAATTTTTTTTGTAAGCTTACTTAATGTTGTTTATATGACTAATATAGCCCTGAAATTTGTTTTGGAATCTCTCAGTCGGCTATTGAGTTTTCCTAGTTGAATGTTACGATCAAAAGGAAAGCACCAACCTCCATGGCTCCGCCAGTGGTCCCGAAGAAATCATGGTCTCTCCTCTTCATCACTGTCTAAGCTGGAACTCCGCCGTGTCTCTTCCTAGAAGGAAACCTCTTCGCGTTACCTACACCGGCGTCAAATCTTCCGAAGCCTCCCACTGCGCCGCCGGAAAATCCCCAAATATAGATGCAATTCATTGGGTACTGCCGCCTATTGAGTAAGTTATACAATTATTGAATTAAAAGTGTTGTATCTAGCGTGTTTTCATTGGTTTTGTTGACTTTGTGAATTGACCTAATTAATTCTTAAGTTTGCCATCAAATTTGACATTTATTTTTTCATGGGTTTTGTTGATTTTGTGAATTGACCTAAGTAATTCTGTATTTTGCAATAACTTCTGAGGTGATATTAGTTTAAAACTCCGACGATAATTACTTGTAAATAAATCAAACATTTTTTATTCGATACGTGATTCGAATTCGGTACTGGAGCATATTCGTAAAAATTTGAACTCGAACTCGAATAAGAATAATATGCGAATATGCACATAGTCGATTCGTTAATAATAATTATACATAATCAAATATATTATAAATAATATAAAATTTTACTTATATAATATATATATATATATAAATAATTGAATACAAATATAAACTAAAAAAAATATTTATAATTAAAAATATATTTTACATTCAAAAAGTATATTTAAAAAATATAAGTTTATTTAATATTTATAAATAAGTTATGAAAACGAACACCAAATCGAATCAAATATATCATTTATCTTAATCAAATCGAATATGAATCACAAATCAAATCAAATATATCAATTATCTTAATCAAATCGAATATGAAACACAAATTAAATTTGGTAACGAATAGAATACAATTACGAATAGTCGAATATTTTCACGAATTCGAATCGAATAGTTGAGTATTCGCTTCGATTCGTTTACAACCTACACGTGCATCAGTTGGAACTGGGCCAAGAGGAGAAGTGATGGTGGGCCGTAGGAGTTATATTTATGATTTTAGAAAAATTGAGTACGAAAAAAACACAATTCCCAACATTTTTGTGCCGCATTCCGACAACAGAAGCCTTAGAGCATCCACAATGTTTAGGGTTCAATCACAAAAAAATTATATGCCACATAAGAAATAAACTCAGTCTAAAAAATATATTCTCCAATGCAAATAGAAGTAGACTGGGTGCTGCTGATGTGGCAGCCACAAAAAGAGATCTGGTCTACCTTTAAGTCTATTTTAGACTCAAGTATAGACATGGTCTCGTTGCATTCGAGTAGATTTTGTTAATTTTACATAGTTTTATCCATATCATTCAAGACTTGAATTTATTTACATGCCACATAGACAAGACTATACCCAATGCGTTGTAGATGCTCTTAATGAATCAGGAAAATAGAGGTCCCAACAACTCCTAGTAAATATAAGGCCATTTGGGTTTAGCTCACTTAGGACGCCTGTAAACGAGCCGAGCCGAGCTCGTTAAATAGACGAGTCAGAAATCAAGCTCGAGCTCGGCTCATTTATCACTATTAACTAGCTGAGTTCGAGTTTTAACTGGCCGATCTCGAACTTTAAAGAGAGCCGAACTATAAAAAATTATATAAAAATTCTCTTTTTGAGTCTTAACGAGCCGAGGTGAGCTCGACTCTTTAACCAAATGAGCTTTAAATGAACTCGAGCTCGGCTTGTTAAGGTCTCGAGCTCAGTCAAGTCAGATTCGTTTAATTTAATAGCATATTGGTAAACAGTTATAATCATTAAAAATAAATTTTAATTGGATAAGTGAGTTATTTTGAATAAAGTTGATTGAGTGGGATAAGAGAGTTTGTAATGAAATAACAGTTAAAATATAATGATTAAAATTGTTGTGATGTAAAAGTATGAGGAGAGATGATTAGATGTGAAAGGTAGTTAAAAATGTGATTGAATAAATATTGAATTAAAATTGATGTGATGTAAAAGAGAGATGATTGATACTATTATTTCATTATATTGCTAATATTGATGATAGTAGAATTGAGTTAAATTCGATTTAGATTTTGAGTTAAAATGAGTAAAAATATTCTGACCAATTATGAGTTATGACTCCTTACCAATCACCACCTTAGAATTGTAAAGTCATGACGAAACTCAAACTCACTCTTGACCCCTTAAGAATTGTAAAGTAATGATGAAACTCGAACTCACTCTTGATACTCTAGCTCAACACAAGCCTTTATTGACCGGCTCAACTCATTTAATTAACGAGCCGATAAACAAACTCGATAAATAATGTGTCGAACTCAAGCTTAAACAAACCAAACTAAGCTAAAAGTTTAGGAAAGTACTTGAAAATGGACCCTTACTTTTCCGAACCTAAGGAGCCAAGCCCGAATTGGCTCAACTCATTGACTATACGAGCCAAGTCAAACTCAAGCCTTAACGAGCAACTCGTTTCTTTTTACTCTGACCTCAGAGCACCCATTCTCGGCGCTCTTGCTGGTGCAGTGTATAGTCAGACAGTAAAAGCCCTATGAATCAGAAGGGAATGGTCTCATTTCCAATTATATCAATGAGCTCAGATCCTCCTTGTGGGTGGGAAAAACTCAAGATTCGCATGTGATAACTTTAGCTTGACCATGAACAATGAAAAAAAAAAAACAACTTTGGCCAAGAATTTTCATCTCATGTGCATTAGCCCCATTCCAAAGATATAACAAAATAGGATAAAAACTATTGTTTTATGCTTTAAGGTCACACATTTACCAGTCATTTACGATCAACTTCAATTTAATCAAAAACCTTGAACAAAATGATTCGCCCACACTATAAAGGCGCAACAAAATTAATCAATGTCAGACAAAAGAAACAACACTAAAACACAAAACCCAAGTGTCTATTACGGCACGAACCATAACAACTATAACACTTATATCAGGCTCAACATGTTACACTAAAATGAAAAACAATCGTCGTGAGTTAAAATGAGGGAGAACAGTGCTAAAATCAATCCAAAATTGCTAACAGAACTGTAAATACTCCGATAGATAATTATCAAGACCCGCATCCAAGTACAACAATAGCATTAGCAACATTCATCTGATACATGAATTTGATTTTTCATGCTAATTCATCTTGCTGAGCAACTCATTTATGTGGTCCTCACGATTTCCCGAGTCCCCTCCATCTTCAAACCGTTTCTTCCTACCGCGCAAGGCCTTTTCCGGATTATTCAGCATAAAGGGGCATAAAAAATTTGTGACTAACTTAAAATTTTTGCCAACAGAGGCAACCTCATTCACGATGTCTTCTATGCAAATGATGTTGTGCTGGCCTAGTTTCTGCCACAAAGCAAACGGGAAAAGTTGTGTCAAGAATTTATAGGCAACAGTTTAAATTGGGATCATGAAGAAAATTGCAGAGAATCAGCAAAGTAAACAAAGACAAACCTGCTCAACAATGTTATTGTCAGTTAAAGGAAACCTCTCCTTCCCAACTTTAATCACACCTTTCTTGTAAATTAAGTCCTTGATACTCTTGAAATTGGGATAGCTTCAAGTAGAAAAAAATAAAAACAATGGCGAGAACATAAAAAAATGACGACAATCACATATGTTATACATTTCAAACATTTTCAAAATGTCTCATGAATCTGATACCACAGCAAATGACATGTCACGAAATAATTAGCAGAAAAAGAGATCAAATAACTAGTGCAAGATATATTTGGAGCACTCGGATCAAAAGAAAAAGTAGTATACCAAAATCATTCACCAGAATATGACAGATAAGAGGTAATAAATTAAACAATACAATCTACGTCTAAATTAAACAATACAATCTACGTCTAACGCATATTACACAGTACACTATTGATGGCTGAAGGTTCTTGCCAACAGGTATCAAAAGTCATGGTAGAACTTACTTTTGGCAACTCCTAGCAAGCTAAAGCAGTTTTCAATAAAAGAATGATTAAATTCATTTCGACTACAATTGATCAAGTCGATGGCTTTCACCCTTCTTTCGATATTACTTCCTGCAGATTCTACTTCGCAAATGGCAAAATTAGTCAGATTTTTATGCATATCAGAGCTTCTAATAAGCAAACTCTCAAACACAAAATATTAATTAAGTCCAGGATAAATTTCAGCTGAGTCCCCAGCACGAAAACATTCTACAGCTATACTAAAGCAACAACAGGTACCAAAAGTAATGGAAAATAGTTAAAGACATACCCATAGGTCACATAAGGCTCCACTTTTTGCAAGATTTCCATTAGCCCCGCGTTTGCCTTCACAAATACTCCACTAAACACTTTCCTCAATCTCAGAGCGTGCAAAATCTTTCGTGTTTTAGGATGCATATCATTTTTGCTGCAAAGGCAATATAAACGTTTACACCACAAGACCAATAAACCACAACAGTACGTAGCAGAACAATATGTCAAAACTTGAGCTGACCCCCCAATGCGAATGACGAATAGAAGCTTAGATTGTGCCGTGGCCGATGCCCTTCTTTTTCGCGCCACCCTACTCTTCATTTGCACGAAGTCCAGTTCCTGAATTCAAAAGGCAATACCAGCAAATTCGCGAAATCACGTAAAAATCAAATCCTCACATATGAGCCTAACCATGAATACAAGCACAATACAAGTAGCAATATGAATATATTACAATCTCTTACCCTGTCGCGAAATTCGCGGATAAACTGCTCGGGCTTCTTGATGAAAGAGCTGTCGGGCCTGCGGCGTTTAGCACGTTCCTGTAGCTGCAGCTTTCTCTTGATTGCCCATTCCTCGTTGTTTTTCCTTTTCTTCAGCACCACCTCCGGTATGTAGTTCAGAGCCGGCGGCGCCGCATCATCCTCCGCGGCCATGTTTGCTTTGGTGGGCGAGAGGGGAGTGATGGTAGGGTTTTGTTTCTTTGAGGCGAGAGGTTTGCTTCAGAATATTATTAGGGATTTTATATTCGAGGGTAGGACAAATTGACAATAGGTAATTTGTACCCTACACTTTGATTAAAAAAAATTACTAATCCAATTAAAATCACATCTATATATATATATATAATTGCTAGCAAGCTTCAATAAATATTATTCAGCCAACAATTAACTAGTGCGTGGCCCGTGCCATTTACGGAAAAACAATATTACGATTGTATTAAAAATTAAATATATAAATAACATTAATCATGATTTATCTATTGTTTTTAAATTAAACCGGTTTGACACAGTCCGACCGGATAGATCGAGAACCGGTTTATAACCAGTATAGTTCGCTTGAATAAAATATTTGCTCTCGAATCCGTCAACACTAGTCGGTTGGACTGGTAGGATCGATACGATTTTCTAAATAAATTTTGTTATATTCAAAATTATTTTAAATAAAATTACATATTTAAATAAAATAGAGATTTATAAATTATTTATCAGTTAGGTTAAACATTTGAATTTATAAACTGTTTAGATATGTAAGTAACGCATTTTATTTAAATTTATTACAAAAAGTACTATATATATATATATATATATATATTAAAATGTTTAAATTAAAGTCTAAACAAACCACAAATGATTTAATAAAATAGCTTGATCGTTTCGATGACGGTCCGGTTCTGAAAACTTTATATTTATTGTACATTAATAAATATTATAATAAAATACTATTTAATTCACATAAATATTAATAAAATGATGTATAAATACCCATAAATCATTAAACATGTTGTCGTAAAAGTATTATTAATACGATTATTTGAAGTTTGGACTACATCACATTCATGTAATAAAATATTTTCAATATAAAATTTATATTTAGGTTCAATAATTGATTTGGTGTGATCGAACTGATACATAACTTAGTCACCTGGGACCAACTAAGTTGTGTCAAGTTTTTTGACTATTTTAAATATCGCCTAAAAGCAATTCAATCAACCTTTGCAGTACCCCAATTCAATCACCCGATTGATCCGAAGAAATTTTCTTATTTTCTTTAAATATATTTAATTTTATGAAATAAAAATATTTTATGATTTATATAATAAATGCCTACACCAAATGATAGTATATTGAGATTATAAATTATATATTTAAAGATGAATTAATTATTTTTACTTTATACATATTAATAAAAAATAAATATAGTAGTATTTAAAAAAATTAAGATTAATTGATTGATTATGCAATTTAAAGAATAATTTTAACGTTCAATTTTTTTTTAAAAGCATAAATATAAAGACCGAGATTTTAAACCCTTTCTTATATTTTGAATTGAGATTTTATAAATATAGAGTCTGAGATTTAATGTTGTTCGTTATTTCTAAGAAAAAAATAAATATAAAAATACACACTTAATAAATCAGCCGAATTTTTTAAATAATAAAATAAACTAAAGCTCGAAATTTAAGGTAGCATTTAATGCTGTATGATTTTTAAAGAAAAAAAAAAGAAAAATAATAATTCTTACTATTTATAGGCTGCATTAAATTCTGACCAATTTTTTTGCTACTATTTTTTGTAAATGGTAATTCTTATTATATATATATATATATATATATATATATATATATATATATATAATATGAGTTCATTTAATAAAAATATGTCCATCATTTAATAAAAATATATAATTTTCGGTTACACAATTTATTTTGATAGGTACTATATTTTTGGATGGTGCTCATGTCTAAAACGTTCTTTATGTCCTAAAATACAAAATGTTTTTGTTTTTATTTTGATACTATATACTTTTTTGTTATTATAAAAATACATATTTCACAACTAATTAAGAATAACTACAAATATCTCTATTTTCAATTGCAGTCATACAATAATAAAAAAAATATTTTTGGAGATTACAAAGATATTAAAAAAACAAATCTCAGAGTCACGAGTCGAAGGGGTTTAACAACAATGATTTGTTGTACATGATAAGAATTCTGAAGATAGAAAAACTATGAATGTTGTATATAAAGAGGTATTTAATAATATTTATATTCACTTTTTAAAATTATTTCTTTTCTTATTTATTAAGTTATGATTTTTACTTTAATATATATTTTTAATTACTTTTTCTTCTATATATCGTTTTTCGTACAAATGCACGGAGTAAAACTAGTTAAAATTAAAGACTCAATGCTCAAACCGGCCCGTTGAGCACTGGCCTTGAAGCGGCCCGTGGTTTTATCAGACCAGTTCCGATCAAGCATTATAAATTTTGAACTAGCGGTTGTAGTTCCAGTAGTTCGGCTTATTTTTAGTTGGAACCAGAATCGACCGTTCTACTTTTTTTTTAATTTTATTATTTTTTAATTATTTTTTTTAATAAATTGAAAGGGCACGAAATCGGCGATTCACTGAACCAATCTGGAAGCAGCAATTAATTGAACTGGGTCGTGCATATGATCGGCCGGTTCATAGCCCTCCAAACCCCGGTCCGGAACTGGGGTTTTGCCACGTCCAGAATCGACCATCACACCGTCGGCGACCATCACCATTAGTTGTCATTCATCGCTCATCCATCAGTAGTGAATTTTAACAAATAATATATCACTTTGAAGCTCTCGACTCGATCTATCCAACGTACAAAACGTCAAACCTTGTTAAATCATTGTTAGTGTCGAAAAATCAAAGAATTGTAATATTTTGGATCGTCACCAGAGATCTGAACGTTTGTTTGTTATAAAACATATATGTATTGAAAGCACCTTTCATAAGGAATCATACGGTATATCACGATCGTCGATTGAAACTTTAAATAGTCAACAACACTTTCAACATATTAAGAAGTTGAAAGCGATAAAAAGGGAAACAAATTAAAAGAAAATGGTAAGATAATATAAATATTAAAAAAATTATAAAAGAATTTAAGAAGGATGACAAAAGTTAAGACTTGCAAGTTACATATTTGAAAATTTTTAATTAATGATATTAAAGTCAAATTTCAAACACTATCTAAAAAAATAAAATAATATATTTTTTTTATATAAAAAGAATATTGAATCAATTTCAAAACATTATCCAAAAATAAAAAGGAATATATGTTTTCTTAAAAGATTTGGGTGGAATAAAAAAATAGTTATTTTAACTAAATTTTTAACTAACTTCTATGAAGAAGGAAAAAAAATCTATACTTATTTTCATTTATAAAATTTAAATTATTTTCAAAAAATCTGAATTTAGAAAATTTAAAATGTTTATGTGAATTTTTACTTACTATTTCAGATAAATCCTTGACCTTATTATATAGTAATAGCTTATATTTATAATTTATACTACCGTTTTGTTTTTCCTTTACCAAATTGTGTCACTCAGCCCTTTGATATTAATAATCATGTTGTGAAAAACACAACTTTTACAATATAAGTACATATTTTCTTCTATGAGATTACTTGAAATTTTTACCCAGCACCATAACATACTTCCAAATTCTAATCCCTTTTACTCACAACCTATTTGTATCACTGGTATGTACCCCGTGCAATGCACGCGACAGAGATATTAAATGAGTTATTTTCACATGTTTTGTCCGTCTAAAAAGCAATAGGTTATTAGCTATTTTTCACTTATTTTAATCAGCGTTAAATCTAAAAGACAATAGAGTTCTAATTTATTTCCCACTTTTAATCAGCGTTTTTTTTTAGCCAGAACATTAAATATGAGCATGTTAGGGCTAACTTGTAAAATAATTAATATATTATCTCACTAGCACATCTATATCTATATCTATATAATTGATCAATCCTTATTGCCATAACTAGTGTGTATCCCGTGCGCTGCACGGAGGGGTTTTTACTTAAAACCTTTTCTAAGACTTTATATTATACATAGTTATTTATGTTTAACATCTTATTATTATAAAAAAAGAAATACTAAATATGAAAAATTATATATTATTTATTTGAATATAATGAGTGGCCCAACCAAACTAATAACATCCAACATATGATATATGATAAAATTAATTATATGATCGTCATACTTTTTGAAAAAATATACATATATTTCTAATAAACATGTAAGATCCGCATTTAAATTTGTATTTGGATATGGGATGAAAAATGAATATGTACAAATAAAAAAGTACCAAGAACCTACATAAAATGAGGTTCTTTATAAACTTTAAAATATTTTGTAGTTAAGCAAATATTAACAAACAAAATCATCAATTAAGTTGAACTTATCGAATATAAAATATAATTTATGATATCATTGACCATATTTACCCGTTGTATTTAAAGTTATCATTTACCATATTTTTATGAATTAGGGTTTACAAAATATCTTTTTCAAAATAACAATTTTTTTTTAATTTGAATTTGACTTTTTCATCCAACCGCCATTTTCCACAAGAATAAAAATAGTATTTTGGAAAATTTTAGACGTGAAAATCAAATAAAATTAATTTAATAGTAATCGATTAATTTAATATTATTCAAAATTGTTTAATTCGGTCAACCCGATCTTAGTGCAAGTTTCATTGAAACAATCGCTTACCAAAAAAAAAGGTAATCGCTTACAAAAAAAGGAAGTGAAATCTATCTATATAATATAAATCAGATTTGAAAAAAAAAGGAAATGAAATTTCATAATTAATTAACTTAAATTGATGTTATTCGATTTATATCAACTCCCTTCCAAAAAAAAAAGAAAATATCCGATTCCTACCAAATCGATTAAAAAAAAAGGATTATGATATACGTCCAAATAAATTACAATTGAAATGTAGGCGGGATTATGAAAAAAAAATAAAAAAAACTTTACCGAATGTTTGAAAAAAAAAATCGGATTAAAAAAAATTAAAAGGAAAAAATTCAAAACGTGAAATTAAAATTAAAAACGTGAATTAAAATTAAAAAAATTAAAAATACAAAATTTACCAAATCTCAACCCATCAAAAAAAAAAAGGAAAATCGAGTGAAATAAAACGTGAAAAAAAAAGGAAAAGCGAGTGAATTAAAAATGTACCAAATCGGATTTTAAAAAAATGGTAACAAATCTCATCTCATCCTAAAGAAAAGGAATTATAACAAATTTAACAAAAAAACAACCAAATCTTATCCTAAAATAAAACAATTCGATTTCCATAAATCACATCCAAAATCAAATTAAGTTAGGCGGGATAAATGAAAAAAATTCAAAAAGAGTTTCCAAAACAGGTAATTTTCGAAAAATTTGAGAGGGAAAAAATGATTTTTAAGCGGGAAATGAAATATTTATTCAAACATTTATTCAAACATTTTCCTTCTCCGTATTATATAGTAATAGATTGACATGGTTTTGGGCGGGAAATTTTTTTGTCTATATTTGCATTTAATTAATATTTATTTATTAGCAAATCTTATGCATGAAAAACATAATTACATTTTATACACTCAAATTGGCTTAAATTGACATTTTGACTGTATATTTATTAGATATATTTTCAATAAGATCTTATATTAATTTAATAGTAATTTATTGACACCATTCATAAAATTATTATGAAAATTAATTAGAGTAAATATATTATCACTATGGTTATAGGTATTAATCTAATTAATTATATTCACTATCATAAGTACTTAAAATATTTAATAAAATAATTATGTTTAAATCATAATAATTTAATAAATAATTTAAAATATTAATAAAAGTTTCTAAAATGTAGTCACTTTAATTATAAAAAGGTACATCCCTATTGAATATATCATATGCAGTGATAATACAATTGAAAATTTAAATAATATACTAATAAAAATAAAATTTGATGGTCGGGTGCAATTCAGAATTATGAATTTCACCTTAGAAGTATCTATGTACATTAAAAAACTATTCAATTTTTAAAATATATATTTTATCTTATATATTATTTTATAAATAAAAAATAATTTTTTTTAAAAAAGCAATGTATAATAATTTAAATTATAGCATTTGATAATTATGGAAATATATAATATATCTAATATTCGGATAGATATTATGTAGCTCATTATATAGGTTGAAAAAAATGAATTAAATAAATAAATATAAATAAATAATGAGCCATAAAAATAAAATATTTAACCACAAAAAAATTGTGTGTTGCATAAGGATTAAAGTTACTAAAAATTAAAATTTATTTATCAAATATTTTAACATTTAATGCACTTAATAATTATAGCGAAAGATAAATATGTGAGTTAAACGTGGTCAATTATCAAACAATGTACAATAATTTACCTTAGAAGTATCTATGTACATTAAAAAATTATTCAATTTTTAAAATATATATTTTATCTTATATACTATTTTATAAATAAAAAATAATTTTCTTTAAAAAAAGCAATGTATAATAATTTAAATTATAGCACTTGGTAATTATGGAAATATATAATATATCTAAATATTCGGATAGATACTATGTAGCTCATTATATAGGTTGAAAAAAATGAATTAAATAAATAAATATAAATAAATAATGAGCCATAAAAATAAAATATTTAACCACAAAAAAATTGTGTGTTGCATAAGGATTAAAGTTACTAAAAATTAAAATTTATTTATCAAATATTTTAACATTTAATGCACTTAATAATTATAGCGAAAGATAAATATGTGAGTTAAACGTGGTCAATTATCAAGCAATGTACAATAATTTGCCTTAGAAGTATCTATGTATATTAAAAAATTATTCAATTTTTAAAATATATATTTTATCTTATATACTATTTTATAAATAAAAAATATTTTTTTTTAAAAAAAGCAATGTATAATAATTTAAATTATAGCACTTGGTAATTATGGAAATATATAATATATCTAAATATTCGGATAGATACTATGTAGCTCATTATATAGGTTGAAAAAAATGAATTAAATAAATACATATAAATAAATAATGAGCCATAAAAATAAAATATTTAACCACAAAAAATTTGTGTGTTGCATAAGGATTAAAGTTACTAAAAATTAAAATTTATTTATCAAATATTTTAACATTTAATGGACTTAATAATTATAGCGAAAGATAAATATGTGAGTTAAACGTGGTCAATTATCAAGCAATATACAAATTATGAATTGTTGAAAAAATTATACGACTATGATAAACGACAATTTTATAAATACATACAAGTAATTGTATGCAAATATCATATGGTCTTATATATTTATAACAATTTATAAACTTATAAATACAAAAATTTATATATTAAATAGTCAAAAACTATAAAATATTTATATAAAAATAAAAATTAACAATAATAGTAAATAAATAAATGTCATATTATTATTAAATAGAATATTGTGGAGAATAGAATTTCATATTAGCTTAAATAATTTTATAATATTTAAATATTTTTTTTTTGTATTGCTCCCCGTGCATCGCACGGTATTAAGTATTAACACTAGTTTATACTAATATAAACTTAATTTTAGTATATATATTTATTCCTTTATATTAGAGAAAATAACATTTTATTATTCTTGTTCACTATATAATACTTAATTATTATTTTGTTATAAACTGTGATGTCATATAATATCATAATTATTTATAAAAGTTATAGAAATTGTGCGTCTTCTTTTTCTTTTTATTTTATGTAATGAAAAATATTTAATACACGTTAGTATTATTTATTTATGTAGTCAATTTAAAATATGTAAATAAATTTAAAGTTAAATAGTGTATAAATATTTTACAAAATATACACACATGTTTTTTTAGAATTTAATTTTGTATACTAATTAAACAACTTTTATTTAGCAAATGCCAAAAACTCAATCTTTTCCATAATCAAAATTTCTAATTTGCATTATAAGAATTTATATTTTATTTAGCATATTCTGCAATGAAAATATAGTTTAGAAGAATTTCATTATAAAAAGAAATCAAAATAAAAAATGATAAAAAATAATCATGGTTGCCAATAATATACAAATAAATTCTAAAGAACAATAAATATATTTCAATTTTAATTTTTGACCATTAATAAAACTGTTCAATGTATATGATCATGATCTCTTAAATGGTAAATTATATTAATTTGAAGAATAATTTATTTTTTTATATATAACGATATAAAGCCTAAGAGACAATTATATTGGCAAAGATTAATTCACCAACTTGATTTCGCCTGATTGATTTGAAGAAAAAAAAATCTACCTAACCTGTTACGATTTTCTATAAATATTTTTGAATAAAAAGTGAATATTTGTGAAAAAAAATAATATTATTGTTAGAAATTAAAACATGTTGTAATATTTATCTTGACCAAAATATTATCAAAATGAATCACGGAAAATCAATCTTGTAAATTATTATAATGGATATCAATGAAATTATTGCAGATATTAATAATATTATTTAAGGAAACAATATTTTTATCATATCTAGTTTGATCTTATTTCAAAACGTGTATATAGAAACAATTAATGCATATATTTAAAAAATTTTCAAAAAAAAGGTGCGCATTAAATGCTCCCAAAATTTTTTACTACTATTTTTAGTAAATGGTTATTCTTATTAAAAAATGCTACAAGTACATAATAAATGTACATAGAGTTATACATAACACTCACAAGGAGTGAGATCCACTTGATTTTTATTTGAGCAATACTGCAAGTACAAATATTGTACATAAATTAGTACATAACACTCACATTGAGTGAGCCCATCAAAAATAAAAAAGGAAAATGCTACATGTACATAATAAATGTACATAGAGGTGTACATAATATTTACATGGAGGTCCCACTCAATGTGAGTGTTATGTACATAGTGGAGTCCACTTAATTTTTTATTTTTGGTAGGTCCCACTCAATGTGAGTGTTATGTACACCTTTATGTACAATATTATGTACATGTAGCATTACCCAAACAAAAAATCAAGTGGGCTCCTCCATGTGAGTGTTATGTACACATCTATGTACATTTCTTATGTACTTGTAGCATTTTTTTTATCTTTGGTAGGACCCACCTAATGTGAGTATTATGTACACTATTATGTACCTATAACATTTCTCTTTCTATTATATAGATATAGATTTTGTAACTATAATAAAATTACAAATACAAAACCCCCCACTACACTTCATAATGAGATTATTACGTTACTTTCTCCCATAAATTTTAAAATAGTTTTATTATTGGTTCACTTTTTAAAATTAAATTATTCAATTCACGCCAGCTCAGACTCCAAGTTCCATAAAAAATCAAAACTTTATTTATGTCCATTTTTTTATTTTAGAAAAACATACAGTACAATTTATTTTTTCCCCTTTCGCATCCCAGATTTCCTATGTTCCGCCAAAAGCTTGGCACAAGTAAATTTTCCTTTCAAATTTTGAAATTTCGAGTTTTTTTTCAGTTCAGATTTCCTTGAAACTTTATCAGATGTGTAATTTCTTGTCAGCTTAAATGAATATGGCCACTGCACATTAAAGGGCTGTCGTCAAAATCTTCTCTTTCTGTTTGATTTTCTTCACCTGGTCCCTTTTTTTCTCTCTCGAAAATTTTGATTTATTCATTTCATTTCTTGTTTTTTTTTTTGCGATGTTATGCCGGAAAAGTACGGCAAAGAACAAGCGTGGATCGGTTGCTGTGCACCTGAATGTATACGATCTTTCCTCCATGAATGGCTATGCTTACTGGCTTGGACTCGGTGCCTACCACTCAGGTGTTCAAGGTTAGTTCTTGAATATTGTTTATATTTAATTTTCGTTTATTTGTTGTCAATGTATGTGACTGAAAATCAGATCTGTGTAGCAAATTTTGCTGCGAGATATAGATAAAGTGATTTAATAATCCAAGATTTCAGTGCCCACCTTGTTCTTCTATTTGTTTTATTTTTTAATTTGTGTTTTTTGTTCACTTTTATTGGATGATTCGTGATTACACTTGGGTTTTTCAAGAAAGTGTGCGCAAGTTCTTGGCATTGAATGATTATTGTGTTCTTTGTCTGCTATCAAGGTTCCAGCTTTGTGGGATTATAGCTTTGAATATTTTTCTGGGTTTATTAAGAATTGTGAAAGAATGAATTTGAATGTCTGCATAATCTAGCACTTTGGCTAATAAAAGCAGAAAATTGATTTTCTTACTGTTACTGACAGTGTTAAATGGAGAAGCTTTGATGAAAAAGCTAACAACTTTGGTGTGGAAAAATTTAAACAACCCACTAGTAGATAAAAGCAGAAACTCACATTCGCAGAGAATCACAAACTTATGTTTTTTCTAGCTTAAAATCCAAGAATTTTATACTACCCTTATTAATATTGTCCAAAAATGGGCAAAAAAAAAAAAAAAAAAATGCAATCTTTGGCAGTTCATGGTGTGGAATATGCATTTGGAGCTCACGAGTATCCCTCGACGGGTATATTTGAAGGGGAGCCGAAAATTTGCGATGGGTTCACTTTCAGAAAGTCGATTTTGATGGGTTGGATTAATATGACACCTGGCGAGGTTAGAGGAGTTATGGAAGAGCTTGCCGAAAAATACAGGGGAAATGCTTACAATCTCATCACCAAAAATTGTAACCATTTTTGCAATGATGCTTGCATTAAGCTCACCGGGAATCCAATCCCCAGTTGGGTTAACCGTCTCGCTAGAATTGGTAAGTACTAATTTTATCTGCATAGATTTTATTCGATCGACTTATTTAAAATTTAGTGAGACAATTTATTTTTATATCCTCGATAGCATTAAATAAGCGTAAATAGATGGTGATGCGTAGTTTTATTTTGATGCATTGATTAAAATTTCTATAAACTTTTTGGATTCACTTAAACTTGGTTTCATACTTTCATGCATGAATTGTTCGAATTTTGTTGGATAAACTTTTCGAAGGTTAAGTTTTGTTCCATTTTAGGCTCACTTTGCCATTGCATAATTCCAATCAACTTGAACACAACAAAAGTTGGGCACCATAAAGTGAGCGAGGATAAAGTGAGTGAAGCCGAGAAGAAGAAGCTCAAGAGCCGCTCGTCAAATAGGTTCTCTAATTCGCCTTCGAATTCATCTTCTTCGTCTTCTTCGTGTTCTCCACCATTGGAGGCAACTATCGGCAGTCAAAGCCGAAGCCCTTTGCCTTTGTAATTTGTTAAATTTCTCGATTGTTTTTCGGAGGAGATCGATCATTTACAGTGGCAATATTTTTCTTGAATTGGTTTTTTTTTTTTCCTTGTTATTTACTGTGTATTATTATAGTGCTAACAGTTTGATGAGACTCAGAAATAACATGCACTTACAAGAATCTGTATATGCACATTGGTCACATTTGGAAAAAAGGACTTGTTTTTATTTTATTTTTACTTACATCTTTCTCTCATTATCCCTCTCTCTTGTTGGTCGCACTTACACATTTTTAATAAATATATGCATATTTTAAGAAACAACGTAAAAAAAAATATGATAGTCATTTAAATACGTATGTTCCATTCCATACAATCCTAAATATTAATGGGGAAAAAAGTAAGAAAATGCATTTTCATGTAATAAATATGGCAAAAGTTGGTGAAGGTTAGGAACAAACGGACCCATGTTATGTAATGCAGATGCTTCAAATCTCGAAATTTATGTGGGTAAATTTTTATTTTAAAACTTGTAAGTTCGTAAAAGACGTTATGCGTATTGCGGTTTCAAAAAGGTGTAAGTTGATCGTTAAAATATTGATAAATCTATTTTTATCATTATACATAATATATGGAACATATCTTATAAAATATATTGATTAAAGTTTATTTGAATCCCTCGAAATTAAGAAACCTTTAATTCATAATCTCGAGAGCAAACTCAATTAACTACATATTTAATTGTATACTATTTTAGGCAAGTTTTGTTTTTATTTTTTATTTATTAAATGAGAAACATTTAAATATATCTTCAATCACGGATATTTAGTTTTGATAGTTTTGATAACCAAATTGCTCAATTTTGGTACAAATAATGCTTTTAAAAATTTGAGTTTTATTTCAATACCAATCCTTTTTAAAATTAATTGATATCAACATTCATTAATCTATATCTATATCTATATATATTGAAAGAGGTTGATGAAAAATTCATTTGTGGAAAGTTTAATTAATTTTTTGGTCATATTTGTTGACTTACCACTTAAGGAAAATATGTCCATATTTTTGTAAATCGGTTTACTAGAGCCTTTTTAATTATTTTTGATAGATTTGTTTTGTTTAATATGTACTCAACTACATTTTATATTTTACATGTGAGATATTTAGAGCTATTTTATAAAGGTACCTGCTCTATTTAATCAAATATCCATAAACTTTTTTATTCTCAAACCAACTTCAGAACACAATTTTAATTATATTGAAAATATTTTTGTATTTTATTTTAGTTAATATGGATTCAAATGTATTCCATCTTTTAATATTTAGATCAATTTTGAAAAGATATCATCATATTTTACATATTGAATTTGTAGATCAATTTTAAAAAGATTCGTATTCCAAATTTACAAATATCCATGGATTTTTTTTCAAACCCATTTGAAAATGGTGTATTAATTATTTTGAAAATATTTTTGCATTTTACTTTGATTAATATGGAATTAAATACATTCCATATTTTACGAATTTCGTAGCTACTTAAAAAAGATCCGTGCTCTAATTTTACAAAGATCTGTGCATTTTTTTTTTCAATATGAACGCATTTCTGTTAAAGTTTTAAGAAAATATAGTTGTACAAGATTGGTATCTTTAAAATTGTTTGTAAACAAACTTTATTAACATATAGATTAATTTGAGCCGATTACAATATCAAGGTAAATTGTCTTAAATTTCGTGATAATAACTCAACATTAAAGAAATTAAAATTGGATGCAAAAATAATGTACAAATTAATTTAAAATTTATACAGTTTTATTAATAGGTATCAATATTTTTAGAAAGCACATCTTGGTTCAAAATTAAAAACTGTATAGGATGTACTTGCATTTTCTTTCACATTTTTTGGAAAAAAACCTTATAAACAACCTATGACCAATATCTTAATATCTAGAAATTTGGAAGAATAAACCGTATCACATAAACAAAATTTTGATGCAAAAATAATGGTCAAACTTTCAAATTCGACAATAAAAGTAAATAACAATATATTTAAAAAATCGTACTGTTCTTACCAGTTCAACCGTACACCAAAATCGACTGATGTTGACCGGTTTGCAAGTAAACATTTTATTTAAGTTAATCGGGCTAATCGATAAACTGATTGCCAGTCTATTCGGTCGGACTGTTCGGTCCGATCCTGTTTTGAAAAGAATAGGTGAATTATAATTAATGTTATTTATATATTTAATTTATGACACAATTGTAATATTGTTTTGCTCGTGCATTGCACGGGCCACGTACTAGTTTATTTATGTCATTATACATAATATATGGAACATATCTTCTAAAATATATTGATTAAAGTTTATTTGAATCCCTCGAAATTAAGAAACCTTTAATTCATAATCTCGAGAGCAAACTCAATTAACTACATATTTAATTGAGTACTTAACAATTATAAATTGAAAAAGTGATTGTCATTTTGCCAAACACATTCATACCTGATATCATGTGGTATGTGGGCACCGGACTATGATTACACCCAACATCAAAGCTGGAAGTGTTAGTTGGAATCGACTTTAAGACGTGGATTTAGACTTTACTACTTTTATAAATGCTCAGCAAATTCCTTCAACTACTCACAACCCTACTATAATTTAATCTCTCACTTTACATTGATAAGTCGTATTCTTGACATGTTAATTGTCATGTTTTTTATACTTTTTCGGTGTTTGTATGAACTTAATTATTGAATATAATTAATTTTTATATTTTTTGTAGGATATCTGGAATTTGGAATTTTATGATGATTGGAGGGCAAAAGAGACGAATTTGAGTTAAGACGTTGGCACGCTAATTTCCTACAAGAGTTGGAAGAAGGAAGAAGTCTTGGGTTGGAAAAAAAATAATAAAGACTTTATGGAGTATTTATTTATTTATGTACTATTATATTTTATTAGGATATTTTTGGAGAGCAAATGATCTCTTTATTTTCTACGTATTTTTTGCTAGGATTAGGATTAGACTGATTTTATTAAAAACCTGACTGTTAGATTTATTTTTCATATCTCTTCTTCTCCTGTCCCCCTTCTTCTCTTCTTCTATTTTCTTCTTTTCTTTTATTTTTCATGAATAATTAGGAGAAGACTCCCATGTTTAAGGAGAATTAATTTATTTTTTCAGCCAAAAGATTATTCTAGACTTGATTCTTCATGATTTGTGAGATCTAATTGATTTTATATTCCCTAATTCTTTTTTATTTATATATCTATTGTGATTATTATCAATTGTGTTTTGATTGATTGATGCAAACTGGCCATTTGTTTGATTGTTGAAACGCATATCGTTATTTAGGACGGTTAAATCCGTAATTGTTTGATCGTTCTGATATTTGTGGCAAATAGCATAGTTGATTACTAAGGGTTTTCTATTGTATACTAAGGGAGATATATGATCTAGTCTAAAGATCCTACATGTGCGTTTGTTGACTAGAATTGGTGATCCTTCTAGATTTATTGCTGTTGATAGATTAAATCCTATGGTCGTATCTAATGTTGTCTGTTGATTAGAGAAATAATTAGAGATTGTATCCTGATTATCGAACAAGTAAGGAATGATAGGTTGTTAGGTCGTACCAATAACCATAACCAGTTTAATTGAGAGTAGGAGAATTATCTTTGCATCCATGATCGGATCGTTGAACCATTTCTACGAGTTTTTCCTTTGGTTGGATATTTTCTCTATTTTGAATCACTCGTTTTATTTTCTTCTCTAGTTAGATTTTATTTTGTTTTAGTTTTTGTAGTTAGATAAAAACATCAAAACCCCCATCATTTTTATTTTTTATTTATTTCACGAATAATTGTGTTGATAAACGGATGTAATCAACGTAATTAAAGTAAAAATTACAGTAAAGATTGCAAAAAATGAGATTTTTATTGAAAATCTTGAAGTCGGTTACAGAATTGAGAAATCGGTTTTCCAATGTAAACTAAGTCGGTACACCAAGAGAACCGAGATAAATATGCGAGTTTTTATAACTTTTGTTGAATCACCGTATCGTTTTCGATGTTGCTATTTATAGTTATGCTTGGCACACCTCCCTAGACAAATCAGCTTCGTTTTAATGAAGATTTGACAGTTTAGGGGCGGCAATGACGTAGGCAGGCTTTTTATGTAATGATGAGCATGGGCGCTCCTCTATCTGTGTGACAAGCGTCACTTCTGTCGGATTGAAGTCGGTGCCATTTCGTGATGTCGGCATTTTGGTAGAGTCTCAATCTTCTACGACTTCCTGACAAGCTGTTCTTTAACCGAGGTGGCCTTTTCAAGGTTTCAATGTTTTATTCTGACGACCTTTAGGATCTACTGTTTTACTCAGAACGTCGTATGAGAACCGAGATGATATTTCCGAGGTGTCATATATTCCGTTTTATATCGTCAAAGACCCAGTTCGCGGTTTAGACTTTAGGAATCCTTTAATCTAACCTTTATCTCATGATATTTAATCTTGATATCAACATAGAGGCCCCTGGCATTAAGAAGTATGCGAATATGCATACTTTTTAATGACATCTTCTATCCAATTGTCTTTTATTTCCAAGTTGATCTAAGGATCTCCCACGCAAGTTTAAACCGAGGTACTTCCCTTAGACAAGAATCACATCTTTTCGCTCCTTTACCAAGGTTATTTAATACTATAAGAAAATCATTGAGCAGTTTTCGAGAGGTCGCGAACGTGTCTTCTCCAATACTCCTCTCAACGGGCACGTACCATAATTTTCGGATATTAATGTTGACGGTTTCGTGACACGCGTACGTACGAGATTATACCTGAACTTTATGTCATAATAAAGGGGAATTTCCTTCAAACGACGCGACTGTTTCTCACGCGCCCCTCCATCTTCAACGGTTAGAAAATATCGCGTATATATACAGATAAGTTCACAGTCCCTCTTCACAAAATCTTCATTCAAGCAACTTTTCATCTTTCCGATTATTCCATTAATTTTCGCCTCTTTCTTTTCATTTTTTCTTCATATTTCGAAAAATCCAGAATTCCTTGAGAGTTTACTT